TGAACAGTGGTTTGGCTGGAAAAGATCACACTGATTTTTGGGATGTCAGGTTTTCCAATTTCCCACATGGCTGCTGTCAAAAATCTGTGATAAACCACTGTGAGCTTGTTTTAATAATATCTGAAAAGAGTTTTTCATTTTCTGGTTAAAATCTTGGTGTTAAAATGTCCTTGACTTTGAAGTGCACCTCAGTGAAGAGCGGATCATATTATCTAGGTTGTCTTTCTTTCTGCAGGGTGTTTGATTCTTTTATCTTTTTTACCTCTCATTTAAGCAGAAGATTACACATTTCTTTTTTGAATATACTTTCGAGGATGCTCATCTTATTTGAAAGAACTTTAAACTGCAATGCAACACTGTCTGATAGACTTCAAGCTGACGTGGTCCCCGCACTCTTCAACATAAAAAAGCCTCACAGTTTATTTCCCTCTGCTGAGTGCAGGGTAATGTAGCTGTCTTAACTAGCACAGGAATACATGAATGGGTTCATCATTGTTTTTGGCCTCCTGCTATGACAGGTCAACATGCCGGGTCAAAGAGTAAAAAGACAAAGCTGTCTGCTAACACAGAAAAGTACAAAGTGCTGAAATGTGTTTTACCTGTGACAGTTGTCTGGTATTTAAACTGACAGTAAAATCTTTTCCACTGTCTCATCCTCCTGCCCCCCCCCCCCCCCAACATCTGAGATTAAAATTTGCCCTGCCAATTTGAGGACTGAAAAGAACTTTTCCACCACCTCTTCTTTAATTTAGCATTCTCATTTAAGTAGTGGATGTTTGGAACAGTATGCAGGCAGGAAATAAGTTGCTGTCTGAGAGACCTTATTCAGGACAAGAAAAAAATGGTCCCAGGTAACAGGATTGCCTTCGTTGCTGCAGCACATGGCCTTACTCTGGAAAGGCACAATGCCTAGATTCTGACTCACAGGATGCAGACCTTGCATTTGGCCATGCCACTGCATGGCAAACAACATCAGGCATTGTTAAGCCTTCCTTTTTTGCTATCTGAAAAGTTCAGTCTTGAGAAGTCTGTCTCTGTCTCAACAGTGTCTGTCTAACAAAAAAACACCCTAAATTTGAATCATAATACCTATTTTATCAGTTATAATTCAATAGAAAACTGAAAATGCCAAGAACAGCTGCCACCCAGAAATCGACAGATACAGCTTTACGTTACCTTTACATCTGCAGGATGTTGCCATTTAAAATTGCAAGGCTGTCCAAACTGCTGTAGAGAGGAAACATTTCATGGTAACCATCAACTCTCTGTGGTAAATTTATAGTTTAATGCACAGTAAATTAATAGTTAATTTATATTAACTGATAGTTATCCTGCTGCAACAATGTGGTGAACTATATTTATGTGTTGCATTAATTATTGTTGCCATGGTAGTCGGCTCCCTTCCCAATTGCGTATTGTGTGGAAACCCCCACCCCCACACACACAGACATTCAAACACATGAGGATTTGGGGTTGTAAATATTTGAAAATGTTAAATATTATTATAGTTATTATAATAATAAAACAGAATTAGAAAGGCATACTAAAAGTGCTGAATTTTTATGACAGCTGTTAAAAAGCAAAATCATCCCTCCATTTCTCAACTTTTTTGTCTTCTTTTAGCTGACCCTGGTGTGGGGTTTGCAGAAAACTAGGCAAACCTGTTCTTTAGACTTTCTGCAACATGAGACGTGCTGCTCATGATCGAAAGCTCTTAACATGAAGGCTGTAATAAAGATGTAGATGTTCTGTAGCAGTCATGCAGCCAACATGCACTGTTAGGGTTATACAAGATCACAAAGCTGTGTTCTTAATAAAAGGTTTTTCATGTATTTCTCACTCAGACCATTTTTTTCTTTGTTTTCCAAAATAAATGTTCTTTATTTAAAACCATCTCTATGGAAACTCCCCTGAAGCTGGCTATTGTCTCACAGAGTTTCATTATATGACTGCATTAGAGAAATGTCAAATGTTGGCCAAGAGGAATGGTAAATGTAAATCTGGCCATACTTAGGCTAGATTTATTCCTTTATAGTATGTCTACATAATTGTATTTGTGTATCTGAGAAGCTACTATGTATACTATCCCAGTCTATACTGAGTACATTTCTATCTTCTTTCAGTTTTTTACATGATGAAATCCTTTTCTTGTTCACCACATGCATCTTCTCCTTTTCTTCTGCATTTATAATCTCATATGTTACCTGTTTAACCCACCAAGTGAAGTGCATTAATGGTGTTGGACAGTGTTATTAGATGCACTGATTCACCCTGCTCTTTTCACACATCACTTTATGAGGGTACTTGGCCCCTCCTGACCCTTTCCTCGAACCACCTATTCACTCCAGGTCTCTATATCTCACACAGCTAATGTGACATTTATGTGTAATTAGACTCTTACATATTTTAATAGAAAATGATATCCCTTAAGGTCTCCCTGTCATTTGCATGGGCAGCTCTGATGATAATCGGGTCCCAAAAAAAACATTCTCGATGACATGAGCTGTCATCCCACATTAGCAGGCACAAAATCCTTATCAGGGGAGTGACCTTCCACAGCATCACCCAAACTTGGACTGCATGTGGGAAGGGAATGGCCAATGCAGCTGCATGAATGTATTTTTTTTCCATGTTACTGTACAATTGCTATGGAGCTTTTCTTAGAGAGAATTTTATTATGACTGTTGAAGCATCACTGTGGAGTTGAGTTTTGCTGTATAACTACAAGAAGAATTGACAAATCATTATTCAAAAGTTGTTCAAAAGCCTTTTTAAACTATTTTTGCCGTATAATTGTCTTTTATTGTTCATATCATTACTCACATAGTACATGCCTATCTCTCTTTGCTGGCATAAGTGCCCATGCATATTCTGTCTGAGTTGATAGTTTGAACAGCATACTTGTTCCTCAAAGCTATTCCTGTCAGGGTAAGCGTCCTCATGAAGAACTCCTGGTGGGTTAAACACGTTACTAATGAGGGATCCTGTATCAAACTGTGATGAAAAAGAGTGAAACTTCAAACTGCATCGTGCAGCTTAGTGTGTTGTGCTGTGTACGGTAAGGAAACAGTTTTTGCCCAGAGGTTTTGATCAATCTTAAAATGGGTGCAACCTCTGTGTTTTCAATGCACAATTTGATTTGACCTGCTTTATCTTTAGCAGTTTATGTTCTTCACATGCAGACAGTATTTGTATTTACATTATATTACATTTTATTTAGTCATTGTTATGAGTTTTGGACGATCAGAATTGAGTATTAATCACGGGCTAAAATCAAATATGATTCAGATGCAAATACAGTCAAGATGAGAGTTCAGTTGAATATATGGCAAAGGGAGAGTGGGGTAATGTGAGACATCGGGTAATGTGAGACACCCCTTGTATCTAGGCAATGGAACACATTTGTGGTCATGTGACCATATGTTTTCAAGCCCCTCCCATTTCCCATCGGCCATGAAGGAGAGGACCTCATCTTGCTGTGGTTAGCATGTTTTTTTTCACAAAAATATATTTTTTGCATGTAAAAGTAAATTTTCTTGCTGTCAACTTAATCCACAGTTGTGCCGAAGCAAATTGATTTAAGTAATTAATTAAGTAATTAATTAATGTCGATGAACTACCAACTACTGTTCTCATTGCCTGTGAAGTTGAGGGCTCACCAACTTCATCCTGGGTGTCCACATAGTTTGCAGAAGTAGTTGAAGCAACATCTCTATGGAAATGAACAAGATGCTTCTTGAAACCTGAATAGGTGCAAAATGATAAACAACATCCTGGCTGTCCACATTTTAAACGTAATGTCTTTCCAGGATATAGCCTGTGGTGTAGTCTTAAATGCTGACAAAGCAATGCAGAACTTTTGTGGTGTGCCTTACAAAAATAACAAAGAAACATACTTGCATCCAAGGATATTTTATCACCTCAAGCGTTGTGCAAAAATCTTGCTCATAGCTCCTTGACTCTGTGACTTTCCTTGGCACTTCCCAAATCAATGTTAAAAACTGTGGTTTGGATGAACGTATAGAAGTTGAAAAGGGATTCATGGTAGTTGACACTGAAGGTGAAGTGTGCTTTGAAAAGCTCATCGAAAGCTGCCAAGGATGTCTGTGCCTTGCAGGGGATGGCCTGGTGATCAATGATGATGAAGTATCTTTGGATGCTGTTCTTCTTTGTGCCAACACACAGGAGGAAGGGCTGTCCCGGTGCCACACCGGACAGGAAGGTTTCGACACTGGCTCCCATCTTTCACCAAAAGTAAAGAAGAATCATGAGAAAATCGTGAAATGTAGCACTGCTACATTCAACTAAGTAGGTCAATAAAAAAAGTGTGCTTTAACACAAGAAGCAGGATCATCAGAATAATTGTGTAAGTACATTAATATTTATCTTGAAGACTTAAAAAACTTACATTAATATTTGCATACCTGCAGATATCTCAGAATATGGTCCTCAGCTTGACAGGCACTGATTTTTCCACTGTTTTTGTGGCCTTTGGAGGTAGGGGGAAGCAGGTGATGCAACAGTAGAATGCTTGACAGGTCACTGTCTCACCCTTGAGGAAAAACAGAAAAAAAAGTCAGACACATTCACATAGATAATTGAGATATTTTTAAGAAAAGGAGAAATACTGACCAGACCCACCTGAGTTGTTCTGCACAGACAAGAGGTCTTCAATGTGCTCATTAGAAGTCAGTTTTTCACAGTCTGTCAGGATCCTAGGTTTGAAAAAAGTAGGCCATTTCGCCAAATATCTGCCCGACACTTCCTCTCCAAACATCATGGTGAAGTCTTGGTCAATCTACAGAAGAACACACATTTTTATACTTATGCAACTTAAGTATACACCATGAGTGACAATTCACTTCAAAGAAGTTCTCTTTCTTACCAAGCCAGTGATGTCAAGGTATCGTGGGAAGACATCGAAGACTGTCGAAGACCACTGTTGATCTTGATCCAGTGTTTGGCGGTACTGAAAAGTGGCCCTCATCTTCTCTTTGATTGCCGATTCATCAGTTGAATGTTTCAAAAAGGATATTGCTTCATGACAGTGCTCACCAAGCAGCTGCTTATCCATGCAGAGAACCTCCCTCTTTCTCTTTGGACTATCTTGGTAAGCTGCGCTGGTGGAAGATCTCCGGGACTGAGTTGCAGTTTTGCGCTGAGCAGTCTTTAATCTCCAGGCCAAGTAGCCAGATCCGCTACATGGGTCATAGAAGTGTTTCTGTCATATTAAAAACAAATTGTAGAGTAGGTTCAGACCATATTACCACTCCATAAATTGATATACAAGCTTTTCATTTACAAACTTACATATCCATTGTCTGAGTATGGATCTCGGAGGCTGGGGAATAGAGAGATGATGCCCAAAGCATAGTTACTTCGCACAGAGATAGGTGGGCTCCTCCTGAAAGATAAACATGACATTACTACTACAATACCTATAGTGTTTAAAGATACAAATTACTACTACTACTACTACTACTATACTAATGAACTGCTTTACTAATATGCAATGTCCTAGAATATGTGTGCTGATTTAAAAAAAAAATATCCATATTAAGTGAGGTAAAAATATGATAGAAGTCTTACCCATGAATTTCAACCATGTCTGCCACAAGAAGATTTACCAACTGTCTCCTTGTGCTATCCATCAGTGTTTTCCCTTTAGCATATTCATCCAAAATAATTTGGCCACCTGGTTTCGCCTGGAGAGCATCTCTCACCATCTAAAAGATAAAGAATAAGAAAGCAAATCAACAATTATAGCCGCCATCATCATGTCCAACAACAAAACCACAGTTCAACTACATCTTTCTGTGTGTATTTTAAAAACCTCTTTTGCAGATTCCCTTTCAGCGTGGGTTCTTTTCCCTCCGTTTGTATGAACAATCAATGTTGCAGCTGATGAATCAGAGGACACAAGCAGGGAGTCTTCAGACACTGAGGAAGATGTGTCTGAGAAGGGTGACTCCGACAAAGTGTTTGAAAGATCCTGTTGAAGCACAACTGTAAACAGATTTAAAAATGTATACACAAAAGGAAAAAAATAATTAGTTCTCAACAATTCTCATCATTGACAAGCCACTCCTTACAAGTCTGAGTCTCACCTGTTGACTTCTCAGTTGACACCCTAACAGTAAGGTTTCCTGCTTGCAAAAGCTCCTCAAACACATCTGCATCGACTTCTGTCCCTGATTCATCTGTCAGGTGCAGCTCAGTCTCAAGTGGAAGATCTAGCTTTTGAATGACTTATAAAAATATTAGATTTAAAGCAATGGTTAAAAAAAAATACAATAAGAAAATTACCAGAAATGTGCTTAACTTGTTTTTTCAACATTTCTTGTCAACTTTATAACAGTAATTTTTGATTTCTTCACAGGGTATTACCATTAGCTATCATAAACACAACTCCATAATATAAGACATTTGAATACTAGATAAATTCAGCAAGTATTACAGCAATTAGTCAGTTTGCACAAATATTCTTGGTTGTATTGCTAACCTTTCTGAAGAAATGTATTGAAGTCATCATAGCCATCTTCAGTCTCAGCCACTTTGACATACTTCTGCGTTTCTCTAAATCTCACCTTCACCAACATGATGTACAATGAAGAAAAAGAAAAAGAAAACATCATCATTTACAGTATGTTCACCGTGAATGAGTAAAAACACAGGGAAATTTTGCCTCGGATTACTTGCCGGATTTTGATCGTTGTAGTTGTTCTGTTTTTTTTTTTTTTTTGTCTCCTGTAAAATTACTCACAAGTCACGTCAACCTGGACAACGGCAGCCAGCACGATAACACTAAGCTAACCCTGCCTGCTATCATGATAGCTAACTTAATGCTAACAACACCCACACTTGTCCATACACACAAATACGTGAGCAATTCTTCTTTGTAAGTTTGGCAAAATAACATCTACTGAATGCATAACATGACAATGACGCTATCGTTCATATGCAGTTAGCGTTATAAAAACTCACACATTTCAGGCATCAGCAGCTGAGGGGTGTGTGGGACTCCGGTAACAGCTGCGGCTAATGATAGATTGAGAGGCTAAAATTAAGATTAAACATTTCAAAAGAAAAGAAAAAAAAATCCCAACAGCTAAAAATAAATCAAAGTAAACTACTCCTGCTCGTAAAAAGCTCTAGGTTTAGAGAAGAGATCGGTGTGGCGGCCCGGAAAGTCTACACCTGTATTCCTCTAGCTGCAACATAAATTAACTTTAGGCTAACGTTACTATCCGGAGCCACTCCGACTTTTGGCAGCTAACGTTTTCCCTAGACAAACAGGAGCTCAACCACCCGGTCCAGCCCCAGCTCTCTACCCCATTGCTTTACATTTTGACGTGTATCGTTAGCCGACACTGTCACTCACGATGAATAGACTATAGCTTAGCTATACACCTAACTCGAGTCCTTGCGCACGTGCTAACGTTACTTTGCTAGCTGGAAATATAACTATGTAGCCTATAACGTTACTAACGATTAATAAATTGTGTATATTTATCAACACCCATGTCTCATGTGCAAAATAAACATTAATGCACACTTGAAAATACAGCATTAGGCGACAACAACCATGCTAACCTTAACATTGGACTGAGCCTATCATGATGTCAGCTCATGTTACAAAGAGGACTCAGCAAGATTTAATATCAACACATAAAAATAACATTACTGCATAGAATATAAGGTATTATCAAATGGCATGCTGCCCTTCATTTACTTACAGAGAGATACTTGGTGAAGTCCTGAAGGCAGCAAAAAGAAACTCACCTGCTATTTGCTGATCTACTCCTGCCCCGCTCACACTCCTTCTCAGACTGGGAGTTGTCCCGCTTTTAGGAAAAACACATCACAGATCCGTTGGAGAAACTCTGTTAAGTGTAGATTTTAAATTTAACGCGTAACAGAGTTGATCATATTTTCTCTGTCCTTCGTCCTGAATACATTCTGATAATTTCTATCCCTAGGAAACATCCGGAATTAATGGGAAATGAGTGAATGTTACTCATATGTTGTTTTAACTCACTTAGAGGGGAGCAAATGTAAAAAATGTCTCACTTTACCCCACTCTCCCAATAGAGAATTCCTGATTTTTCTAAAGACATACCACCATGACAAATATAAAAGCAACATAATTTTCTTCTGGTCAAAAATCTGTGAAACCAGCACTCAAACAGATGGAGTCAAAGAGTGAATTAATCCTGCAGTGTTTTTCATATCATATTATGTTACAAATGCTTATTATGCTGTTTCTTTAGATAACACAGTGATTGGTATTGTGTTGTAAATGTATTTAAAATAAACAGGGACTTAAATTGGGAGGAATGTGTATGATTGAGCTTACTTCATGAAGTCTTTGACCCAATGAAGTTTTCCACAGAGCACTCACCGTTAAGATCCCCACATCTATTTCATTCAGTAACTCAGTGCTTTTGCTTTATCCCCTTTTTCAATCACTTTCTCCATATCAGGGGAGCTCTTTGCTCAGGAATGAGATTAGGGGAGTTAGGTGGTCGAGTGTGGCAGATTGGGAGTAAAATGTGAGACAAAGCAATTGCATTTCATATTGAATTGGGAATAAGGGACATCATGGGTTTCCCCTTGCACACCTCTAATCATTTGGACTTCTCAAAGAAACCCATGAAAGTCCAAAAAGAAAATGAAAGGCCTTATCGGTCCGTTTGAATGCTCCTCAAGTTGTGAAGTCCATCACTTTTTGACCTGGGACTCCAGATTCAACATTCCCCTCATGTTTGCAATGGATTGAAGCAGTTTAATTTTTGGAAAACAAGACTGTAGGCTACAACTTCATAAAAGTGGGTAAATATATGTATACTGAATTAAAATTTGACCAATCCACCATGTAAAAACAAAATAAGTGGAGTACATCAGAACATCTGTAATCCCGCTGCAGCCTAAAACTGACACTGAGACTGTCATATTGCCAAATTTACCATTTGGAGCTCATGCATTGACAATGGCAAACCACCAAGCTGTTCACTCGCCAAAGAAATCTTTTTTTTTTTTAATGACAGAAGAGATAAAAGGTGAGGAAACGACAGAATACAGTTGGGGTGATGTTCATTCATAACACAATTATGAAGGTAAATCTAGCCTTCTGGCTATAACCAGAACCACTCCAGTGCCACTTAATTAGTCAGAATTAATCCGGAGACACTGATGTTCGATTTGTGAAGTGGAGTGGTCCCCCAAACATTGTCTTTTACAAGAATTAAGGTTAACCTTCCCATGTTTTCACCGCCTTCCTCTCACCTTTGTTGTTCTGTTGCCTCCTGGTGTCTGACGTGATCTAGTTCTATTTCCCAGAGCACAGCTTCAGTGTGGCTCCTCTTTCTGGATCACATCTGTCAAGGGCGGCAAGAGACTAAGGAAAAGGAGGGGGGACTGGGAGAAAGCTTTGTGATCTCCTTAGTGCAACATCTGCTGTTGCCCTGGGAATTCTCTTGCATGCAGTTTGTGGTACAAGGCATTGAATGTATAGTCTCTGTGTATGGAGTTTTAACTTTGTCAAAGCCACTTTGCATACAATGAGAAAAAAAAAAAAAAGCTCTTCATTGTTTGGATTTCTATTAAGTTCTTATTCCGACCTTATCCCAAAAATAGGGCCATCAAAGTACCAGTCTATTGTCAGTTTGCAATCCAGTATACTGCAGTCTATGCAACAAGAATGAGTCAGAAACAATGGGTCAAATGTTCATAATAATATTTTTTTTATTTTTTATATATGTCTACAGAAGCTGAGAATGGTCATTGTTTTTTTTTTTATTTCTTTATGCACTGTTATTTTGTGATAATGACTTACAAAACCCAATTCCACTGAAGTTCTGAAATTGTGATAAACATAAATAAAAACAGAATACAATGATTTGCAATACAACCTTTATTCAATTGAATACACTTTCTCATGATAATGGAAATGGCATTTTAGCCAACCTCAATTGTCACTTAAAAAAAACGCCCTCCAGATTAGGATAAACCCACAGCCACTGTTGTCAACAGCAAGTCAGGGTAATGCACATGTGCAAAATGGACCGTGCTGTCAGCGTTTTCATTAAAACTCCAACTTGCCATTGACAACGGTGGCTGTGGCATTTCAGAAATATCCTAATCTGGAGGGCGTTTTTTAAAGTTATCTTTGAGGTCAGCTTAGACACCATCTCCGTGATCATGAGAAAACAATCCTTGTTATGTCGAGATAACAAAAAAATTGAGAAAATGAACTTTGTTTTATCGAGATAATGAGTTGTTATCACGAGATAACAGTGAATAAAAAATAAAAATAAAAATCATGGCTGATCTCGACTTGTATAACAGAATGTAACTAGGGCCC